AGATATGATAGCCCAGAAACGTGTGGAATTACAACCGCTGCACCTCGTGGGAGTATCCGGGGAATCATCGTAGTCGTTGTCATCATTGTTGCTGGATAAATGTTCTCAAAGCACTGAACCTGATCACGACAAGCGACAGCCGTGAATAGTCTGAGCAAGCACACTGGTACAGAAGCGATTGCTTAAGAAAGATAAGAACTCCAGGAGGCAGTAGAAGAAGAAGAAGAAGTGCGCAAAGTGTACGTATAACAGGGGCATATGCGAAGTCGTAGGGCGTTTTAGGGCTTCTTATGGATCCTTTGATTGCATGTTGTCTGCAACATGCCTACGGACCAGTGGTGGGCACATTTCGGCAGTAGGGCTTTCCTATTTAGGGGCAGTACCTAGCGCCGTGCGCGTTAGCTACATAACAATCACAGGACGAACTGTAGTGCTAATACAAATAGTCGGATTACTATGAAGCTTTGCCCCGCCTTTGGTTAGGTTCTGCTTCATTCAGATATTGATACATTCCTCACCAGTGCTGCTGCGAGTCTTCCGCAATCTCAGTGACGGATATGTTTTTTGAATGTCCCTCAAAGCCATAAGCCCAGAACCCTCTAATCTCTAAGTCAACAACCCTGAGCCCTCAAACACCCCAAGCCAACTCTAAAGCCTTCCTGAAAACTTACTGCTTCAGCCATACGAGCATTGAAACCTTAAACCCGAACACCGGGCTCCTGTGCTATCCCTGATAGGGTTGTGGGTTCAGGAGTCAGCGGGTAAAGCCATCAAGGAATTGACACGTATACATCCTTGCACACATCTTCCGAGCCAGAGCAGTTAGCGGCTGCCCAGGGATCATAACACAAGATAGAAACGCGATACAGCGTGATACACGTTGTTAGGTTGTATGAGTATCTTCTCGGAGTTCGCTTTTCTCACCCCAAACTACGAGTTGGTTCACACCCAGTTCCCCAGTTAGGGCCTAACATCTTCAGAAACGCACAAAAGGACCCAGCATGGTTGCCTGATAATCCCTCCCCGCAAGCTTGCACGCCTTCTCGGCAAGTACTTGACGTTGCCCATGAAAATTTGAAACAACCTCAGGCCTCCATCAGGGCCACAGTTTGGCAGTTCATAAGTACACTGCAAGCAACCTCTGCGCAGACAGTGGACCTGGTAAGCCCTGAACTGCAAATCATGGCCTGTGGGTTTGAGTGTTGTGCAGGGAGCCAGAGGGGGCTGCTCACAGCTGCGACTTGGCAAAATTGGCAGGCAAGCTGAGAGTCACTTCTATGCATTGCCAGTATGACTCGCGGTGTCGATGGCATCTTGTAACCTTGTGGGCTTATCGGGGATTGCCGTGTTGATGCTGAAGTGGCAGCTTTGCCACAATATCACCCCAAATTCGCAAGTTCTCTTGCGCGATCAAAACTTCCTGTGCCAAGGCTGCTGGGTATCTCGACAAAAGTCAACTAGGCAAGACCGACCAAAGCAGCAGGTTCATCGTCTGCCAGTCTGTACGGACTTTCAGGGAAAACATGACCCTAACAGCTCAGCCCCGAACGCTAAGGGCTCAGACTAATACACTGGCTCCTCACCCTGGATGCCCTGGATCCTTTACCAGCTCCTGTGCTCCGCAAATCCTGACTGAGCAGGGCGAGGAGGGAACAGAGGAATACGTCCCCGTTGTAGTCCCTCTAGCCATTTCCGGTAGGAATCGCCGTTTTCCGTTCCTTCTTCCCCCGCTAGTCATTAGGAAGAAGAATGCCCGAGGCAGAGATTCCGTGGCCACATTCATTACCTTCGGTCTCCGGGGTACAGGCCACGGATTCAACGCCGGAGGCAAAGAAGACGCATGGTTTGGAAGAGCCTACTTTCGTTGAAAGGGATGTAAGGTAGTGAGTATGTAATTAGGGCATATGTTGGGAAACAATGGGTTAGGGAAAGAAGAATGGAGAGTCCAATGGATAAGAAAATTGAAGCTGGCTTATGTTGGGGTCAAGCAAGCCCCCGCTTTAACTTTGATTCAGTGAGCAAGGGCGAGCAAGGGTGTACCATCGTAGCTGTGCATGTTCCCGGACTTCGCCAGGATGTGTCCCCAAGATGATCCAGTCATTCCTTGTAGGTTCTGCTCCAAAAGGGTAAGTCTGCATAATTTGAGGAAACTTCGAACGGCGCTGATCCGATGGCACCCAGACAAATGGGCCGGTGCCTGAGTTTTCAGGTGGGGGAGGAAGTGTGACTTGCGTCAGGCTTCAACATGCCCCGCCTCCGTTTCATGTACCCCCGAATAGTATATAGCCCGTGTTATATGAGCCACCCCAATAGGCCCCCAATTGCTGGAGAGGCTGGATGCACCCACTGTCAATACATGGCCATCAACAGAGCTTAGGCCTGGGCTTGTTCAAAGCGGGGGTTCTTGGAGGCTCCCAGTATGATTACCGACGTAACTAGGGAGGCTTACATGGGACAACCTGTCCGCCCAGGATTCTGACGCTAAGTTTTCTGGCTCTTAGGTTTACACCACTACAGCAGCTAGCAGAGCGCTTCTGCACCGTGAAACTTACAAATTCTAAAGACCACAAATCAGTTCCAGGCATGACAGGATTCCTTCAGGGACAATACTTCAATTGCAAACCATGAGCAGAAGACCCACAGCACAATAAAACGAAAAAAAGGCCCCTATTCTGGAGCACGTGGTCGAAGCACAGCGTGGGGATGTCCTGGCCAGGGTCAAGGAGGCCCCGCGTTTTCTTTGCTGCTTCTGGCCCGGCTTTGGAAGTATGCATCCTTGAATCATGGCTGTACCGCTGTACTGCAGAGCTTCGTGAAGAGTTGATGGATGCACAATGTGGTTAGAGCGAACTCGTACGCAATCGTGTCCGAACGGAAATCTAAATCCCAGGATTTGCACGTTGCGGGTTCTCTGATCAGGGCACAGCGGCTTGGTGGTGCGACCTTGGTAATTGAGTAGTCTATGTTATGTCAATGAATTCTTCGCTTCTGACACCAGGGGATGCGCAGTGTTGAAATCCGAACTCGTGCAAGGGTTTGATTTGCAGCTTGGGGCAAAGCATACAGGTATAAGTTTGAGGGGTTAGGCGAAAGATCCTACGCATGCCTCTAATTAATACACGGAAGGACGGAATACATTCAGGACCAGAGGTTCGGAGCCTGTCTCTTCAGCTCCACCCAGCGAAACTATAAAAAAAAGAGTGTTGCTACCTAGGACCAGCTTAGTGATGAGCACAGATGAGCACCATAAAATTTGGAGAGGCCTTACAGCCTTGACGGCAACTTGATCTAACGTCTAACGAGACGTTCCTGAATTACAGCGGACCACAGGCCCACACATAATGACCTCCAGTACCGATGAATGAAAGATAAGCAAATGGCTTGGACTGACCCGGCTCACGAGCGTGAACCTTCCTCCTGGCCTCCTGACCTTGTCAAGAAGGTGGAGAATGACACGTCAAAGTTCATTTCGCATCTGCACCACCGGGGCCGCCACCGCCACCCGACCCGCCACCACCACCACCAACACCACCACCACTACCTGCCCACTATGGACAACATACTCCCCACGTGATGCCCGCTTTTTTACCAGGCAAAAACTGGAAGGGGCGGCAGTGTTTTAAACCGCAAGTTATGACCACGTGACAATCCACATCCCCCTATAGCTGCTTTGCTAGATAGCACTCTCGGTTTGCAGTATACCTGACTAGCTCTTGTGTTAGGTGACGCAGCGGCTCCTGGAGGCTCAATGTGTGGCCGTGGGCAGTTAGTTAGTCAGAAGAGATGCGGGGTGTATAGATTGCAAATTTAGAAGTGTGTAGTGATGAGTTTTGAGAAGCTGTCCCTCTCTAGGTCCTAGAAGAAGAAAGTCCAGCATGGTGGGGGGGTGTTTTGGGGAAAGACCCATACGGGAGCAATGCTGAGACAGCCTTGCATAGATAGTCTATATGCAGAGAGGTGATTCAAATCAGGATAGCTTCGTAAGGAGGGCTATGCTTCGATTCCTCGACTGCTCTGGGAAGCTACAGCAAGACCAGGGTCTAAACACGACTTGTAGTGATCCTGAGAAGGGGGCCAAAGAGAGCACACGGTGGCCTAGAGTTTTGAATCTAGACCCATCCAAGGATGACTCTGATCGCTCAAGCTAAGTTCTAACACTGAATTGCTGATGACAGGCGCAGTCAGCTCAGGAACTTGGTCGGAGGGTAAGCAAATGCCAAGGGTTGTAGGGCAACCGGACGGCTGTCATTTTTTTTTGGAAATTGCGAACTGGCACAGCCCCTCGCATGAGGACCTCGGAAAGGAACCCCTGGTTTGATACATCAAACCGGATTGCAATTCCTAGTGTACGTGCAAAAGCTGCGCAGGAGAAGAAGGTGTTCGATGCAAAGTGATTTGCCGGCATGGACACGAAAACATCCAATGGCCTTCCCAGCCTGAGCTCTCAACATACAGTGGAGCATCACATCCCGTCAGCATGCCCCCGCTAAACTGCGATTGAGCGGGTGTTTCGACATTTCCCACACTTGACGTGTGGACTCAAGAATTTTCCGTGCATGCGGCAAGCTCGCCGAATTCGCGTGACAGGAAGGAACTGGAGCAACATGTAAGCACAGACTGTTTGGGCAACATATGCAGCCCCCGCCTCTTCGGATAGCTTATCAGTGGAGAAGGGATGCCACACCTTGCCTCTTAGCTTCCGTGCCTGGATTGTCATGGAGTTGTACAGCACTTCTTTGACAGCCTCCCGGCACGCCAGAGAAGCATCAAAAGCGTGAAGCCTACGTACTACCAATCAATCCAGATCTCAATCGACATTATGTTTGTCTGCAAGCCTGCAGTGGGTGCACGTCTCCCGCAGCCATTGGCATAAAGTGTCAGAACGTCCCCACGGCCTGTACGCATCTTGAAGGAATTTTTGCATTCGCTACAGTGTCCAGAATGAATACGCCCTCCTAGAGCCGCATCCGCCTCTGAGGTTTAGCAGGGAGGCAATGCAGATGCGTGTGGTTCTTGGTTTGGCGACGTGCTGAGATGCCTTCAATGGACACCCGTTGGTCAGCGGAGATTTCAGACCGCCAAACGCTGCATGATCTCTACAAGCTGAGGTGCTGGCATGGGCTGTTGCTGCCACAGATGAGAAGGCCAGCCAAGCCGCCACGAGGGAGCCTGCGCAGTCAGCTTTCGCTTTGAGCTTGTGCGGTGTAACCAGCTATGTAGTTTCCACACACGGGGGTCCTTAGATGGACCTCAATCCGCGAGAACTCCTTTTATCACAGGGACTCTCAAGAAGGGGCCCCCAATGATTGGAAGCTCTAAACCCTACACCCTACGCATCCCTAGAAACCCCTATATATACTCTACATACCGGATAACCCCGCGATAGGGGGCGCCTTGCCCTCCTTGATGTTGCCAGGGCACCGCCTTCCTGAAGGCCAAGGAGGAAGAGGAGGGGGTCATCAAGCTGCCATCCGGGCTCCTCTACAAGGCGGATCCATAGGGTTCTATAGGGGCTCAATAGGGGTTATTTATATAGGGATTATATGGGGATTACATAGGGGTTATATAGG